GGGGGGGGGGGGAATCCAATTACTAGAGACTGACATTTTAAACTCCCCAGAGCTCTGTGATTGATTCGCTAATTATGTCATTGGTTTATCTTAATAGACTTGTGGGCCCCAAGTCAGACAGCCCAGGTTCAAATCCCATCATAATCCTTTTTAACAGTGTGACCTTGATAGAGTTAAGAACTTCCTCTCTCCGGGCTTCCAATCTATAAACTGAGAATGATGATGGTCCCTACATTAGAGGCTTGTTTTGAATATTAAGTGAGATGATGCAGCTAAAACACCTGAAACAGTGCATGCATGGCGGAGAGAAAGCACTCAATAGCCACCAGCCACTTGCTGATGCTATTACCTTAACTACAGCACCGGCCTTGTCGCGGGTGATTTTGACTGTCCCCGTAATAGAGGGAAGTGAGGTGAAGATAACCCTGAGCATATGCTTCTACTGAGAGGAACAGGATTCGCTTTGTGCCTAATTAAACCGGTGACATCACTGGCGGTTACTGAAGCTGGGTGCTTCTGCCAGTGTGCTGCTGGGAGCGTGGGCAGCTTGGTCTGCCCTCTTCAGAAAGCGAAGTGTATACCCATCTTCTGTTCACCCTTGTGGAAAGCATAGCTTTTAATTGTTGGCGCAAAGGTAAATTGCGGATATATATTTACTGAATTGTAGCGCATTTTGAAGCTGTGACATTCACCGAGCGAGGTCTATCCTGGAGCCCAGCAGCGTCGGCTATGAGAGGAGTGGAAGGCCCATCTGACTGGTACCTATGAGTCAGTAGGCCCAGGAGTGGACTCCTCAGGCCCCTCACTTCACGCCATCCGCTCTTCGCGTTTCTGTGTTTTCCTCTTTGTTAAGTTCCCTGCCTTCCGTGGGCTTTGATTGCTGCTGATCTGTGGGGGTGGAGAAGGGAAGGGGGGAGAACTTGGCTTTTAGGAGGAACCTTGAAACAGTGACAGCTGGATGCGTGGGCAGAGAGATAATAGGGTGCACTGCTCGCCCTTGATGAACTGAGGCTTAGAAAAGTCTAAACCCTTATGGGGTCTGAGGGAAATGTTCCCTGGCTGAGGCGCTTTGTTTCATTTGGAGTGCGTTTTTCACGGCCTCACCAAGCCCTCAAAAAAATAAAAAGAAATAAATAGAGCTTCATTTTGAACATTTAGTGCGGGAAGTTGAGGGCTGGAAACTTCCCAGTTAAGCGCTGCTTTGGAATATTAAGTGTCCTGGAGAGTAGGAGGACTTTAGAGGTTAATTCTCTCCTTTAAAACCACTTCTGCTTTTTGCAGTGATCACGGGCGCAGGCGATGGGATTGGGAAAGCGTATTCATTTGAGGTGAGTTGCGTCCTTGGAAACCTTCTCTGCCTCTTGTATTGAACGCATCAGGGTCATGTGACGCCTACCCCGAGCCCCAGTGTTCTGATTAAAGGCACTAGACATTCATTTATGAAGGAAGATATTTTCTGTAAAAAAGGAATTTGAAAGTCATCATCTCACTCCCTGGATACCTTTTAAAAAAATGCAATGATATTCGAAGGTGGCGGTATCTCCCCTTAGGAGTAGTTCTAAAAATTTAGGGGGCATTGTTATTTCCTAATGTAATTGTACCACAAGCACTTATACACTTAAACACAATTTCAAAACATTATAAACTCCTTTTCTTTTATTTATCCTTTACATTACGGTTAGGGCATACATTGATTTTTAAAAAATTATTTGTGTAGACAGGACATATTATGGATGACTTTAATTTCAAGAAGATTAATGGGCATTACCAAATATTGTGTAAAGCAGATTCTTTCCTCAAACTCATGCTAACTTGACCTACTTGTGGTTCCCTTGATATCTTTTAAAAAAATGTTTTTATTGAATTTAGAAAGAGAGGAAGAGAGAGAGAGAGAAACATCCATGTGAGAGAGAAACATCGATCAATTGCCTCTCTTATGCAACACAGGCATGTGCCCTGGCTGGGAATCGAACTGGTGACCTTTAGGTGCATGGGATGACACTCAACCAACTTAGCCACACTGACCAGGGCTCCCCTTGATATCTTAAGACTCAGATATTTTCTTCTACTTAGAAGAGACCCATGTGGAAGCTCTCCTTAGCCATTCGTTTCTTTCCTGTTTCTAAAAGCGAAGGCCTGGGGGTCAGAAGCTGCGGGTTCCAGTCCTCACTCTGACACTGTCTGAAGATTTTGGACAAGTTACACATCCTTTCTGGGCTGCTAGTCTTTACCAGCCCTCCCGAGAGCGTTTAAGTTCTAAATTTTGTTCCTGTTCTAGACTAACTCTTGCTTTGCTTTTCTCCTTTTATAATCTTTTTCTTTGTTCTCTTTTGTTCCTTTTTAAGGCTGTTAGACAGTTTTCTGGACTTTCTCCCTCTCCTTCGAGCAGGCTTTCCTCTCTTCTGGAGAGCCTGTTCTTGTCTCCCTGGGCAGTGCTGCTCCAAGGAAAGCAGTGGCGAGACTGGGGTGCTGTGGAATGTAATGGGTATAGGTTAGACGGCTTTGTGTTCGAATCCTGCCTTCGAAGTTCACTGCGGAATTTCCACGTCCACAAGCTGGAGGTGATGACAGCCCCACCTGGGCTTTGGGATGAGCAGGGGAAACTGCTTCGCACAGGGTAAGCTCTTCAGGGTTAGCCACTATCACTGTTGGATGTGTAAACTGTTTTCTTTCCCATAGATTCCTTTTTTTCTTTTGAGGAGGAGGAGAGTGTATTTACGTACCATGTTTTTACCCTCTCTGTTATTGAAGAAATGCATAGGTGGTCTTTCTCCGTTGCTAGTGGGAGTGGGGTTCTTGGGGTGCCACTGGAATAAGCATTTCCCAAGGCCCCCACGGAAGGATGAGATGTGATAGAAAGCTTTATCTTCAAGGAATTACATCCTAGGTTCCTAAAGTCCCATGTCCCTTAGTCTAAGATGTGCAGCTGTGGATTCAGTAAGAATTAGAAGCAAAGCCAGCGTCCAAAGTTTCTGTTCCATGGTGGATTCGGGTCTGGTTTAGCATCAGGCTAGTTTCAGTCCCTCAGTCCGTTGTGTGGGGTTCACATGGCTGTGAGCCATGTGGGCAAGTGCAGGGGAACCAAGAGAGCGCCCCTGCGACCAGAGTCCCAAGAGTCCCGAAAACACAAGGGAACAAATTTCTTTGTTTAGGGCAGGGGTGGGGAATGTCGGGCCCGAGAAATCATTTGGTCTGGCCCTGCCAAGGCAACCACAGGCTGGACTTGGAATTCGATAAATCTAAGATCTTTTTTCATAGTTAATTTTTAAGTTGGTAATTTTGTGCCCTCAAATGATGTTATAAATATCCAAATGGCCCTTGGCAGGAAAATGATTCCCCAACCCTGGTTTAGGGAATTAAGTATCTCAAATCTTCCCAAGCACACACTGTCCAGGCCTGCTCTGGCCAATGGCCCGTTTCCAGGAGTGACTGACAGACAAGTACCTTCCCTATGTCACCCAGGCTTCACTGGGCACGCGTCTATCTCCCCCTGTCCAGCCCCTTCCCCCAGTGACCTGTGGGGAATAGGTAGGTGGCTTCCCGGGGAGGGGTCAATTGCAGCTTCCTGGCAACTCTGCCCAAATGACAACGCTGCCTGTAACGTTTGGCCCTCCCCCTGCTCCTTTCCAGTTATCCATAAACTAGGTTCGTTACAATGGTCTCATTTCCACTGTTCTTTCTTCTTCCCTGATGTTCCAGGAGTCTTTTGTTATTTCCTTTCTGTTTAGAGAATTTCCTTTAGCTATTCTTTAAAGGTAAGTCTGCTGGTGACAAATTCTCTTTGTTTTCCTTCATCAGAGAACGTCTTGACTTCCCCCTCCTTCCGGAAGGACAATTGCTGGATAATTTATGGTTGCTAGTTCTTTCTTTCAGCACCTAGAAATGTTGTGCCCCTTGCTTCTGGCCTCATAGTTTCTGATGAGTCTGATGTTATTCAAGTTGTTTTCCCCCTTTAAGTAAGGTGGTTTTTTTCCTCACTGTTTCCAAGAGCTTTTTCTTTGTCTTTAGTTTACAGAAGCTTAGTTGTAATGGTGCTTGGTGTGAATTTCTTTGGGTTTATCTTGTTTGAGGCCCACACAGCCTCTTGAATCTCTAAGTTTATGTCTTTTCACAAATTTGGAAATTTTTCATTCATTATTTCTTCAAATATTTTTTCTGCCCAACTTTCTTCTCTCCTTTTGAGACTCCAATGACATCAAGTTAGATCTTTCTTATAGTCCCATGGGTGTCTGAGATGCTGTTCATTTTCTTCAGTGTATTTTTCTCTGTTGTTTAGATTGGGTAATTTCTATTGTTTTATCTCTAACTTCACTGATTCTTTCTTGGTCACCTCCATTCTGCTATTGAGCCCACCCAACGAATTTTTAATATTAGATATTGTATTTTTCAGTTCTAAAATTTCCATTTTGTTCTTTTTTTATATCTTCTGTTCCTTTGCTAAAACTTTCTATTTTTCATTTGTTTTAATTGTGTTCATCATTGCTCGTTAAAGCATTTTTATGATGGCTGCCTTAAAATCCTAGTCATATAATTCTAACGTCTGTGTCATCTCACGTTGGCACCTGTTGATTGTTTTTATTTCACTCAAATTGAGGTCTTCCTGGTTCTTGGTGTGATGACTGACTTTTGATTGAATTTTGGACATTTTTGGTTTCATGTTAGAGACTCTGGATCTTATTTAAATCTTCTGTTTTAGGTCTATACCCACATCGCTTCAGCAGGAGTGTGGGTACTGACTTGTTCCTACAGGTGAGATGAAGCCCAGGTTTTCCAGTTGGCCTTCATTGGTTTCTGCTGCCTCCTTGTTACTGCTGGGTAGGGTCAGAGTGACCCCATTAGGTCACTCTGGATGGGACGGTCATGAGTGCCTCTTCACTGCTCCCCAGGAGGCCTCCAACGGTGCTCGGGAGAGGTGGCCTTGTTAGCACTGGGGTGATGGTGTAAGTCCTGCCTGTCCTCTACGCCTTCCCTGTTATCCCAGGAGGGGGGAGGGACAGGGGTGCCTTGGCACTGCCGGGTGAGAGTAGAAGTTCAGGTTTCTGCTGACGTGGTTGGGAGTGGCTGGGATGAAAATCCCAGCTCCCTACTTGGCCTTCTCTGATGCCAACCTGGCTGGGGCTTGGGGCCACTGCTACAGTACCCTCACCAGGAGGAAAGTCTTGGCTCATCACTCAGCCTTTGCAGGCAACGGTTGGGGTGGCTCCATGGATTTTTTAATTTTTAATTTTTTGAGTTGTTTACCTGGAGTAAAGCGTGTTTGTCTAAAGTTTTCTGCCTTGCTGGGCTGTCCCCTTTCTGGTCCTTTGGTTAGAGGGAGCAGGCTTCTGTTGGGACTTTTTCTGTAGTCCCCTGTTGGTATTTCTGAATCCATAGCATATTCCAGCAAGAGGTTTGGGATATATGAGGCCTCTAGCTGGTCTTCTCGTCATCTTTCAGAGTCTCCTTATGTTTCTTTTATGTCCCATGTCCAGGTTGCACTTTGTGGTTGCAGTTAATGGTAGGAATGGGGAAAAGTACTTCTACTCCATCTTTCTGGAAGCCTATTCTGCACTGCATTTTAACTTCATGTGCATTTGTACTGAGGGTGGCAAAAGAGGCTTCCCATCCTGCTAAAGGAATTTCAAGCATTACTGGAAGCAGGTGGGAAAAAATTGTGGTGAGGAATGCGCCTGGGAGAAAGGACGAGAGCGGGCCTGCCTCCGATGCGCCTGCGGCCGCTGCTCCACCCTGCCGTTCACACTGTTCCGCCTCCTTCGGCCCCTGAACTCAAGCCCTTGCTCTTAATCACCGTCGCACAGAGGAAGCTCTGTCCTCCCAGCACTCCCGCCGCGGTAATAGATGAGTAGAGACGAGCACCTTCCTTGACTCAGGCCCTAACACACAGTAGAAGGAGACCGGCCCGTTCATCACGGCAGCAGCCACCGAGGCCGGGGCCCTGCAGTGAGTTCTGGGAAAGGGAGGGCTTCTGGGGCTGAACGCCCTGAAAGGGGCAGCAAGACCGCATGTGCAGCCTGTCGGCCTGGACGTTCTGGAAATGAGATTGAGCTCTGCTCAAGCGGACAAAGGGGACAATGCCCGCCCAGACAGTCAAGTGCTCTCTGAAGCCCCCGGGGCCCAGGCCACTTCATACGGAGCTGTAACAAGTCCATGGCTCCTCAGAGAAAGGGCACAGTTCAGGAGAGGCTGTAAAGCCCACCGGGCAGAGAGCATCCTTCGTGCTGAAAATGCAAATTGTTTCCCGTTAATGGACAGTCTCCCCCTGAGGAGGCTGAAGAAGTGAACTGTGGGACAAAGGTGCCACCTTGGATGGATCCCAAGACTCAAAGAT